CGAGAGAGAGAGAGAGAGAGAGCGAGAGAGAGCGAGCGAGCGAGCGAGCGAGAGAGAGAGAGAGAGAGAGAGAGAGAGAGCGAGAGCGAGAGAGCGAGAGAGCGAGCGATAGACAGCGAGAGAGCGAAAGAGAGAGAGAGAGAGAGAGCGAGAGAGAGAGAGAGGGCGAGAGCAAGCAAGAGAGCCAGAAAAAAAGAGAGAGAGCAAGCAAGAGAGCGAGAGAGAGAGAGAGCGAGAGCGGGAGAGCGAGCGAGAGAGAGAGCGAGAGAGAGAGCGAGAGAGAGCGAGCGAGAAAGCGAGAGAGAGCGAGAGAGCGAAAGAGAGAGAGAGAGAGAGAGAGAGCGAGAGAGAGGGCGAGAGCGAGCGAGAGAGCCAGAAAAAGAGAGAGAGAGCGAGCGAGAGAGCGCGCGAGAGAGTGAGAGAGCGAGAGAGAGAGTGAGCGAGAGTGAGCGAGAGAGCGCGCGAGAGAGTGAGCAGGAGAGCAAGCGAGAGAGCGAGCAGGAGTCACGCGCCAGTAACAAAAGCTAACTAAGCACACATAAGCACAGATAAGCATAAACAAGCAGGCTTGGATAAGCAAGCATGGATGTCGGATGAGCACATGGAAATAAACTACAGTGCCGCAGCTGTACATGTACTGTACACAAGTCAGACGAGAGAAATCACATGGAAGAATGAACCAGCAAAAATAAACACGAATAAACAAGCTCAGATAAGTATGGACAAATAGATAACCATAATAAATGAACAAGTATACTGTATAGATAGGTAGGAATACAGAAGCTCAGATACGTATGGATAAATCAGGAACACAATTAGGATAGATATGCGTAAGATACCCAACAGATAAATTAAAAAGTTAAAACGAGTGATAAGGGAGTTACGAGAAACCGCAGCGACAATCATCACAGAATCAACTAATGCGTCATAATCGTCATAATACGTCATAATGCGTCATAATCGTCATCATAGAAGACGACACGTGTGTTATGATGGACACCGCACTCCTTTTGCTCTCTCGCAGCTTCTACTGAAAGCTTCGTGATAGAAATAACAATCTTGCAGCTTCCCGTGAAGTCTGCACAGACAAGGACTGCACCTGACTGACTCCGCAGCCTCCCAGCGAGCGAGCGGGATGCGGGACGCAGCATCCCTCGCTCTCTAGCAGCTTCTACTGAAACCTTCGCGGTAGAAGGATGAACGCACAGCATCCGCTGACGCATGCAGAGGAAGGAACAGCTATGTACAGATAAAGCTCTGTTGCTGCGTCACGCACGCGTCTGACTCCGCAGCCTCCCAGCGAGCGAGCGGGATGCAGGACCGCAGAATCCCTCGCTCCCTCGCGGGTTTTCCCGAAGCCCTCGCGGCAAAAATATCAATCCTGCAGCTTCCAGCGATGCAATCGCAGCTGCGGACCGCACGCAGCCGACTTTTCCTCAGCCTCCCGTCCGTCGGATGCGGGATGCTGGGCATCCCCAGCTCGCTCCCGTATTGTCGCCGCGGTGACAATCAATATCCGCCTCATGACTTCTACAGCTAGCATGGCGACTGCCGCCGTGGCGATCGTGGCGCCCCCTAGTGACCCGAGAGCCTCGCGCACGTGCTAGCACCTAATTAAAAGCTACTAATGGATTTTAAATCTGTTCGGCAAGTAGGAGCGTAATCCGTGTGCTGGCCCCCCTCTCTCTCCCCCCCCCCTCTCTCTCTCTCTCTCTCTCTCTCTCTCTCTCTCTCTCTCTCTC